GCAGCGGCGGCAGCGATTACCACCACCACCACCGGGCCCCCGAGCACAGCCTGGCCGGTCCCCTGCACCCCACCATGACCATGGCCTGCGAGACTCCCCCAGGTATGAGCATGCCCACCACCTACACCACCTTGACCCCTCTGCAGCCGCTGCCGCCCATCTCCACAGTATCGGACAAGTTCCCCCACCATCACCACCACCACCATCACCACCACCACCCGCACCACCACCAGCGCCTGGCGGGCAACGTGAGCGGTAGCTTCACGCTCATGAGGGATGAGCGCGGGCTGGCCTCCATGAATAACCTCTATACCCCCTACCACAAGGACGTGGCCGGCATGGGCCAGAGCCTCTCGCCCCTCTCCAGCTCCGGTCTGGGCAGCATCCACAACTCCCAGCAAGGGCTCCCCCACTATGCCCACCCGGGGGCCGCCATGCCCACCGACAAGATGCTCACCCCCAACGGCTTCGAAGCCCACCACCCGGCCATGCTCGGCCGCCACGGGGAGCAGCACCTCACGCCCACCTCGGCCGGCATGGTGCCCATCAACGGCCTTCCTCCGCACCATCCCCACGCCCACCTGAACACCCAGGGCCACGGGCAGCTCCTGGGCACAGCCCGGGAGCCCAACCCTTCGGTGACCGGCGCGCAGGTCAGCAATGGAAGTAATTCAGGGCAGATGGAAGAGATCAATACCAAAGAGGTGGCGCAGCGTATCACCACCGAGCTCAAGCGCTACAGCATCCCACAGGCCATCTTCGCGCAGAGGGTGCTCTGCCGCTCCCAGGGGACCCTCTCGGACCTGCTGCGCAACCCCAAACCCTGGAGCAAACTCAAATCCGGCCGGGAGACCTTCCGGAGGATGTGGAAGTGGCTGCAGGAGCCGGAGTTCCAGCGCATGTCCGCGCTCCGCTTAGCAGGTGAGCCGGCCGAGGAGCTGGGCGCGCGGGAGATAAGGTACACGAAAGCCGAAGGGACCAAAGGAGGGAGGGTAGGAGAGAGGGCTGGGTGCGCTTCATTCCGCCCACCTCTACCCCCAGAAGGGGTACTCCCTGTGCCTGGAAGGGCCAGCACAGGGCTGTGGGAGCAAATTTCCTACTCTAGGGCTCAGTGTGTTGGGCTGTGGAAGGCTCCGAGAGCTAAGCGGCGGGCCCTCGGCGACTGAAGAGGCGCATTTGCGCTCAGGTACAGCGAGGGAAGCTCGTACGGCCTGAGGCGGAGAGAAATCCCCGCACCTGGTGAGACACTCTGCGCCACCTCTCAGTTCAGCGATCCGGGTTTGGGAAGAGGGAGGCAACGCGTGCGTGGAATCGCACGCAAATGTTCCTCGCAGGTACCTCTGACACATCCCAGGCGCTGGGCTGGAGCGTGCCGGAGCTGCGTTGAGGTTTAGCTGAACTGGCTGCTGTGATCCCCTCCCGCGCTCATTCTTTTGGCGCTGGCTGGAGTGATCTCAATCTAAGAGTATGGGCAAAAAGTTTCAAAGCCACTGGGCGATGGGTATGTAGCACAGACGAGGTGTAAGGGTTAGGACGCTCTCTGCGCATGGAATTGGCTGTGGAAAGGAGAGGGAGGCTGACCGTCCCAAGGTCCCAGTGAGAGTTGCAAAGCAATAGCCAAGTCCGGGGACCGCCTTCGCTGCCGACTCCCTGAGGACTTTGCATTTTGTTTTTTGATTCCTCTTCGCGATTTTAGTCTGAATCCCCGTGCGGGAGGGGGATTTGGGGGTGGGAGTGTGTAAATGACCCCCAAGTCTGCGAGCAGAGGTCTCCTGCCCAAAACCCCAAACCCCGGGTGTTTCTGAGTTCAGCGGGAAGGTCTCCTTGGCGCCGCGCAGACACCGCGCCTGGCTCCCCTAGACCGCGGATAGGCGGAGAAGACGGCTGAGCCCAGCCCGAACCCCACCGGGGATTTCAGGAGGATTCGGCGACCCTTGAGGGTGGAGAACATGAGGGGAGGTAGAGCTAAGGACAGCGGAGGGTGGCTAGGGTTTGATGAGATCCGGGCGGCGGTTGCCAAGTTGATTGACTCCTGGTTCATGCCCCCTTCCCCCCGCCCCAACTCCCTAACCCCCACCTCCTTCTCAGCCCGGCGCCCGGGCCTGAGCCTTGGCGAAGAGAAAAGGTAAAAGCCGGAATGAGGGTTTGTTAATTAACTGATCGTTCTCCATTAATTCGTCCCTGGAGAACGAGAGACAGTCAATCCGCTCTGAGCCGGGGGCACTGAGCCGTTTCACAGTCTAAAATCAAAGCGTGAGGCCAAAGCCCCCTCCCCCAACTCGTGCCTGCCAATGAGAAGCTAGGGGGTGGCAGGTGCCGACCAGCCTGTGATTCGTGCCCCGAAGCGACCCAAAGCGTTCTTTGGGTTTGGACCCTCCAGGCCTCCGGTCCCAAAGCGCCGCGCTGGCTGAGACTCTGCCCTGCCAGGTTTTCCAGTCCAGCCCTGCCTTCGTTCGCCCCAGGCAAAGTCCTCATGCAGGTTCCTGCTGGGCGCCCCAGCGAATCGCAGGCTCCTGGGTTTCCACTCTCTAGCCCTTGTGCTAGAGAGTGAAATATCTCCATATATCCACCCGTGGGCTGTCCGCAAGCAGCTGAGGTTCCGGAGGGAGTGGGCGAAGGGGCTGCTCCTCGCCTTGACAGCTTCGTCTCTCCAGAGCCCAAGGTAGTGCCTTTTCACACACCCACACCACCCCAGAGCCGGGCTTCAGGGCCTCTTACCCAGGCAGTGCCCGCTGAAGCCAACGAGTGGGGCAAGGGAATGTGAGAAGAAGATAGAAATGGAGAAGGCTACCCCTCCAGGAAAACTCAGTCCCCATCCCCCACCCCCGCCCCCTGGAGGCTCTTGCTCTGGACTTCAATGTCCCTCCTCCCCCCACTGCCTGCTGTCGCCCCCTGGAAGGTCAGACGGACACGTTCTGTTCAGAGACGACCTCTGAGCCATGGAAACCTGGCTGCAGGAGCGCCCTCTGACCTCCAAGCGTGGAGAGCTACAGAGCCGAGCTCAGGGGACGGCACTGTGGAGGGGGAGGGAGCCTGAGGGCTGGGACCCACACGCTGGAGGCGCAAACCTAGTGCCTGGCAGGTGTTCGTGGCACCCAGGAGGCTATCGAAGGAGCGCCTGCCTGGGCACCCAGCAACCTGTGGAGAACCATGCAGCCCTCGGCCCCAGACCCATGACCTTTTTCTCGAAAAAGTGAAACATTGGAGACTCCAGCAGGGCAGACATTTGGCACCAAACACCCAGCCCACTGTGTCCTGAGACCCTGAGGAAGCATGTCTATTACATTTTTGTTTCCTTAACTTAAAAGTGATGGTGGAAAGGGCTAGGATTGAGGGCGCTGTGTTGGTCCAGGAGGGCCTCCTGCAAGGAACCAGGAACAGTCTCTTCACAATCTATTTTTAAGTTACTGAAGAACGAGCCTTCTCATTAACATTTCCATATTGTAAAAAGAGTGGGGTTATTTTCTGAACTTTCCAAATGATCTCTAGCGGGCCGAGTGCAAGAACCTTAAAACGAATTGCAGAGCGCCTTGGCCGTTCCTACAGGACATTAGTGCGTGCCCCCCACTACCAGCTCCCATGTGGGGAGGAGCCCCTGGCAGCTTTCCTTGCTGTTGCGCTCAGAGACCCTCCCCCAGTCTCTTTCCAACCACCTTGCGAGGTCAGGGCTCACTGAGCCAGGTTCCTTCGCTCCGCAGCGGGAGAGCGGTGGCTTCTCCACGCCCCTCTGGCCTCCAGGTGCCGGCCGCCTGTTGCAGAGGGTCAAAACCCTCTGCTCGTGGCGCTGTGTTTGAGAAGGCGCCTTCCGGTCACGAAATAACAGCGGCTGGTGGAAGAAGGGCGACAGGAGAAAATTCCCACCAAATTAACTACCTTTTAAAAATCAATATATGTTCCCTCCGTGTACTACTTGCTGCTGCCCCATTAAAGAGCAGAGCGACAGGGTTCTCGCCGCATCTCCTCCTGGATGAGGCGGGCGGGTGGGTGAGTGGCGCGCCTCTGACGTGGGCGCCTATCAAGACGCAAGATTAGTTTCCAATTAAAGATTCCAGAGAGCTTCGGCCACACGGCGGGGGCTGCCGGCTCAGAAAGAGACTGCGACACACAACCACGAGCAAGCGCTGCACCGCGGACCCAGAAGAAGGCCGGGCGCAGGCCCGAGGTTCGGGCGGGGGTGGGTGTTGGGCACTCCGATCCTGTCCGACTTGGAGGGGAGGAAACCTCCAAACCCCGCGGGGGCGTTGGCGGGGCCTCCAGCACCCGGACTGCGCCCCCTTCCCGTCCGGTGTTTGCCCCAGAAAGACCTGAAGGAGGACCTGAGCCAGGGGGGAGGGGTTCGGTCGGGAGGCGGCCATGAGAAAGTCTCGCCCAGCCCAACCTGGGCTGTGTTTGCCCTGAGTGGCCTTGCGGCCTGGTTGATTGATAACTGGCCCCCGCACAAGTCCATTTGCTTTTTTGTTAATATTTATCCCAGGGGTGACATTTCAAATGTCCCCCCGCTTTTCTGGGCCTTGGGAGCCAGGCAGAAGTGCGGGGCCCTAGGCAGCGCCCTTCAATCCTTGAAGACTACTGGGCCGGGAGAGAAGCCAGGACTGGGCGTGTGGGACGCAGGAGCTGGAAGGGTTTCTGGGCCCAAGAGTTGGGGGAGAAGGCGTCAAGCGCAGCGATTTCCTCACGCTTCGTGTCTTGGCCCTGCGGGTCTGGTGCCGCGCAGCTGCTCCCAGCCCGCTGCGGCGCGAACAAAGGGCCGGCAGGGCGCTACCGACCGTGTCGGCCTAGGAGCCCGGGGCGAGGGGCGCCGCCAGCGGGGAGCGCCTCCTCCGAAGGCCTGGGATGGCCTGCTGCGGAGACCAAGGAGTCCCAGAGCCTGCCAGGCCGAAAAGTGGCAGTGCGTCCTGGTAGTCGGCTGGGGACCCTCACACACACACACACACACCAGCAGATTGTAAAACCAAAAAGTCTTGCTCTTGCGGACAGTCACCAGAAGGCTCTGCGTGGTGCCTGTCTCACGGCCGGTGTCTGTCCCCCCGAGGGTGTGGGACCATAGTTCCCTCTATGTAATTCTCTCAGTGTAACGGGCATAAACCGGGCTGAGGAGAGGGGGGTGCCCTTGGAGATAAGAAGTGGGCTCGTGGCAACGGCTGAAGCAGGGGAAACCTACTTCTGGGGCTTGAGAGGGGCTGATGGCTGTTGTGTGGCGACCTTGGTGTCAGCGCAGCTAGGATGCCTGCCAGAGACAAACTCCACTACCTGTTCGGAGGTATGTGGCTATCCCGTCTGGGGGTGCAGCCCCTATAGCCTTGGAAGCATCCGGAGAGGGATCCCGGTAGTTGGGCGACCCGCCTGACCCAGGGCACAGGGATTGCTAGAGACCCAGCCCCGACATCTCCGCTTACAACCGACACTTGGGTCGGACAGTGCCAACAATAGCACGGTTGTGTTGCAGCAGCAGAGGACTCAAATCCCAGGATGCGCCTCTCCTTATCTGCAAGCCTCTAGCCCTCCGCGCTCCCTGCTTCCCTCCATTCGGCTCCCTTTCTTGGGGTAGCCGGGCTGTGCTAGGGGAGCGGCGCGCGCCCCCTGCGGGCAGTCGGGGCCGGGCGCCCCGCGAGCGTCAGTGGTTCAGCCCGCGGCGGAGAGAAAAGGGATGCTTGCTGCGTCTTTGTTTTTAGAACGTCGTTGTCCTAGTGAATTTCAAAACAATAACTATTTTGATAGAAAGAAAGTGTGAAGGAGGAAGAGAAGGCTATCTAGAGGGTATGTCGGGGTCCCCAACAATGCCTGGGTGTTACCCAATTCATGAAAACAAAATTTTCATCCCCCGAAGTACACCCCAGCTCTAACCTCCCCAAACAAGATGAGTACTTGGATTTTGTATCCAAAGTATGCTTTTGCTGGCATGTTTTCATTTAAGAAAAGCG